GGTTCGAGTTGGCACAAATTTAGTATTGGGGTACAGCCAGGGGGTGTTTAGTTTTTCCAAGAGGTGTTAAACATAGAATTAAAGCAGGACCGTCACCCTCCTGCTGTAAAATGATTTTTTCATAAACATAGAATCTTTATGAAATACTAATTATACTGTGTTGAATGTCACTGTAATTCCAACCCAGTCTAGCAATATACAGAGAAAAAGTACTTACTATTTATTACCACCCATGTATTCTGCCTCTGACTGACTTGTTTAGACTCATGGTGGAGTCTAAAATGTAATCCCGTCAGCCGTCTCCAGTCATGGCTGCTGAGAATTGGCTGTGTCTTTGGACCTCAATGCTCTACTCTCGAGCATGAATGATCCGCGAAGAGGACCCCACCAGATAAAGATGGTCACGCCCAGGAGAGACAGGTTCAGGTTAGTAAATCCTACCATGTCCCCCCTCCCCCCTGGCCACAGGACCAGCAGTGGCGATGTCACCATCAGTGGACTTTGAGTATTTGGCAAAGTCCCCAAATGATGACAGTGTCGCTGTAAGGTAAAGGGTTGTTTCAGGTATAAGCTTTGAGTACTTAATCCCTTAAAGACCAAGGCTTTTTTAGGCACTTTTGCCATGCATTCCATACATACCACAATTTCACCCTTTCAATTATTATATATATATTTTTTAAAGGAGTAATATGGCTTTATTTTGACACCTCGTATGTATACATAACAAATTATTAAATAGGAATATAATATTTTTAGAAAATTGGAAAAAAAACAACACATTTTTTTTGTTGTTGTCAGTTTTACAATGAATAATTTCTACACACCAAGTGCAGCTAAAGAAAACAAACTCAAAACAGATTCACTAATTATTCCGAATTGTTAAAATGCCAAAATATGGGGTGTGGAGCCTGACTGCTAAGCTGGCTGGTCGCACGTTGCCCAAGCCCCAGGCCTGAGACCTTTATTCTGCCTGCTTTTAAAACAAATAACGACTACAAATCGTAAAATGCTACAATGGGCCACCAGCATGTGGAGAGGGGTCACCACGTTTGCAGCTTTACTGCCAGTAGCCGGTAATTCCATGACGGAGCGAGGCTGCGGCCTACGGGAGGCCGAGGCGGGGAGAGGTAGCCGATCTCCTCATTCTCGCATTGACTACAAAGCCTTTGTCTTCCCCTGTTGGGTGTTT